AACAGATAACCCTAGATGTAGTACCCAATAGTGTCTAGTTTTAAGTATACAGACTTAATCGATTAATAGTAGCTGTATCACCGAGTAAATTATGTTTACAATAATGTGCGTACACAAATACCGTTAACATACAAGTTAATAAATTAAACGTATCACTTTTATTCTTAAGTGTAATGTTATGTTGAAAACCCAAAATCGGATAAAAAGTTTTCGGTATAATCTTTGAATTTAATATATATATCTTTTTTTTTTTCCAGCAACACATGAGGCATATGCATTGGACTGTCATATGCGAGAATTAGACTTATGTGCCGCTACCCTACTTTTGTTTAACCAGGGGGAAAGCGTTGCCCAATCAGAGTCGGAATTGGATACCCAATGTCAGTAAGTTATAGTTACTGTCGAATTTCTTTCTTGAATAAGTCTAGATTATACAAAAAAAAGATATCTAACATTGTTCAGTTGAGGAGCCAACAACAATCACTCTGTGGTTTATTCAGAGTATTCAACTAAAGAATTGAAGCGCTTGTATGTGTATTAAAGAACAAAGATAGATTTGATACCTGTACGTTACGATGGGCAATAGAGGGTTAAGCTATGAAATTAAAGTACAATATGTGTTATGTAAAATAAATTCATGTCGATAAATGTAAAAAACAATTTAAATATTTATGGTGTTTTAAGACTCTTCTTATTAAATTTATGAACTTACACACTGCCATCATAAGATGCTTCGTCGTACTTTTTCATTTGCTGACCCAAGCCTTGATTAGACGAAACTGTTTGTTTGTTTTACAATTTCGCGCAAAGTAACACCAGGGCTATCTGCGCTAGCCGTTCCTAATTTCACAGTGTAAAACTAGAGGGAAGGCAGCTAGTCATCACTCCCTACAGCCAACTCCTGGGCTACTTTCTTACTAACGAATAATGGGATTGACCATCACATTATAACGCCCCAACGGCTGAAAGGGCGAATATGTTTGGTGGGACGGGGATTCGAATCTGCGACTCGCCTAAACCAAACAACGGTCCACAGAATCAAAATGATATTAAGCCTCTACTGCACAGATTAGATTCTTAATTTAAAGTTATACCAATTGCGAGGATTACCAAAACTACTAGACATAACTCGGAAGGAATATAAGTTATAACTACGTAAGTAGCTTTCAAAAAGGTGTGGAGATATGCTGTTTCCCACGAGAAGTTTTAAATCGCGGAAATAATAGTAAGTAGAACAATCACGGGTACTTGCTCAAGTGTTAAAACCCATAACGTCCTCATCTTCAGTACTTAAAATACAATTCATCGTCTGCAGTCAATCGTGAACATACCAGTTACCCTTTAATCATGGGCGCCCGCAGGAAGGGGCATTTGCTCCCTTTACATTTCACAAAAAAAATTAAAAAAATGCACATATCATGATGTAAGATTAACATCGTAGTTAAACTAAATATTTTAATAATTCTTATTAAAACTGTAAATTTTAGTCTGTTGACTTACACTGTAAAAGATGATCCCCTACATACATGTTTTGCTTCCCTTGAGAATATTTCTGTGGGCGCCCATGCCTTTAATTAAAAGAAAAAAGAGGGAGGGAGAGAAACACAGAATGTAAATAAACTTGAATAGAATATTTCAGTGAAACCCCCAACTTCCACCTTTATCTTATACTGCAGTAAACAAAAAAACAAATATATAACCCCCACCTATTACATAGGTCGGTGACATTCACTGATAATCATCCCTGCCTGTCAATATAAAAAGATTCAGTGTCTGAAACTTTGCACCACCCCCCCCCCTTAGAGAACACAATTGTTTCGCGAGAACACTTTTACGAAGATTCCCTGAAAGAGGACCCCAAATTTGGCAATGATTTACATTAAAACACGTAAATAAGTAGGCCTACTAATTACCGTTCGTAACTTGATTCAAAAAATTAAATTTCCATTATGATGATTAAGCTGAAAAGGTGGAAAATAGTAGTTCAAGCATTTATTCTGCATTATAAAGGCCCTGTAAATGTGGACCATAGGCCCACCGGTTCGCTAGTATTTAATGTAAGTTAGGCTAAACTGCAACTCTTTACATCTCTGAGAATTAACAAAATTAGTAAAAGTTATTTCGTTTAAACAAACATGGAATATTATAGTTATCATAAAAATTCCATTTTATTTAATGATGAACCAGTATTCAAGTCCATTATACATTATTCTACTCATATTTTCTTGGATCAACAAACTCCAAAATATACTGATGGAATGAGACAACAAAACATTGGTGCCAGAAGAGATTATTAATATAACTTCTGAAACTGGATAAAGTTATCAATAATTAACTACGAAATTTTTTGGCTGTGGTGGCTACACGGTGGAAAAAGCGTAGGTAGTTTACAGTGTAGCGTCAATAGTGTGACTTAAGACTAGTAATAAAGCGCCATCTATTTGCGCGTCAGATAATTTTTTTTTTTTGTCTGTTGGTAGTAACGCAAATGGAAAAGCCAGGAATTTGAGAAATTCATATTAGTATAAGTTATAAAGCTTTCTACCTAATATATATATATTTCATTAGTACAAGCACACCCAATTACAAAAAAAAATTCACCTCATTTTGGCGATAATTAATAATCTGGATAATTTTCGATTTTAAAAATATTTAAACACCTCCTTGTGAGCGTAAGGTTTACTACGTACTTTGTAATTGTAAGTGATTGAATTTCTAAAAGGAAAAACATTTCCAGGAACATTAATTGAAGATTTCTTGCACACACACAAACGCGCGCGCACAAACATTCAGCCATTCAAATAATAATAATAAAATAAACTAAAAAAAATTGTACCATGAAGTTTCATATTTTTATACAAGTTTAAGCAAGTGAAATGTAAGTAGTCATTTATATGCTAAAACGTTAATAAAATAGTAACTTGTACGAAAAAAAAAGAGTCTAGACGTTACAATGATTTTTCTTTCTGCGTGTGTTTAGATACATTCGTGATGCCGAACTCTGTCTCCGAAACTACACCAATAATTGTATGACTCCTATCCAAAAGGAACTAATTAAGTTCGTTGGTGAGGGTTCTGAAACACTGCTTTCAGAATACTGTACTGCTGGCACCGAAATCAGAAGTAGTAAGTTGTCCATTTTAATTTAACCAGTAGTTTAAAAAATTCTACAAAACTCTAAATAAAAACACACAATAATTAACATTTTTATTTTGTTTAGAATGTAAAATTAAAAAAAATAACTGACAAATTCGGAACACTTATCAAAAAATATTGAGTAAAATTACAAAGAAACAAACCGATTTCATTTCAATATGAAATGTAATGAATTTAGGGTTCATCCATGAAATAAATATAATACAAAATTTACGAGTGCTATTTGGTAACGCTTTGGAGATAATTGGTTTTTTTCCGTATCTTTTTCAATAATCTTCGCGATCTTCACAGGATATCTCCAGAACGCAGCCTGTCTCAATGACGCCAACAAAGAAACCAGAACCTGTTTAGAAGATCTCCAGGTGGCACTGCAAACTATTAGTGAAGCTAAATTTGATAAACGCGTACCAACTGCTTGTTGGTAAGTTTATTTTTAATGTTATTTAGCCGATCAGATTAAGGTTGTTTTTTACTTCAAATAACAGTGTTATACTTTTGACCTCTTAGTTACAATAACGTAAAACACAACACTTTAGTTTTAGGAATTTCAGGAATGAAAGTGAGTGCGGTATTCGTTTTTTGATTCAGCGTAATGTTCTGAAGTACAAAAACAACAACAACAAAAACTAAGTACGAACAATATGACATCTTATATATATATATATATATTTATAAAGTAAAATCACACTTTGATAAGTAAATCATTGGCACAATATTTAATAGTTGTTTCTTTCAGTGCATTCGTTACACATTACTTTTTTATAACCTTTCAAGGGAGCTAAGAAAAGACACCATTGTTGCGAGTTCTGTAATTCATTGTTCTTATCGTAAGCTGAGAAAATATTTAACAATACTTTTTTCTTAATGTTTTCATACATTTTATAAAATGTTAAATTCCTCTTATAACATTGAAACAATAATCAATCTTCAGTTTTCAAATAACTTAGTACTGATGTAAACATGCCGATATTAGATGTACACTAATTAATACCTTTTAATGAGAGCCTTCTTTCTTCTGGAAGTTTTATTATCACAATAGTTATTATTTTAAACAAATTCCAAAAATTAGGCTGCTTATTCTAACACAAAATGGTTTACAATTTTTAGATTCATTTTAGGAAGTAAGAAAATACAACACTATACGTCTGAAAGCATTAAAGATAAATGCTGGAGTACTGTAAGTTAAACAAAACGTAGAAATTAACGCTCTGTTGTGGTCTAAATGTCAGTTAAACAAAACGTAGAAATTAACGTTCTGTTGTGGTCTGAATGTCAGTTAAACAAGACTTGGAAAGCAACGTTTTGTTATGACGTAAATATAAGTTAGAAAAACCTTGGAAAGTAACGTTATGTTGTGACATAAATATAAGCTAAGCAAAACTTGGAAAGTAACGTTGTGTTGTGACGTAAATGTAAATTAAACAAAACTTGGAAAGTAACGTTTTGTTGTGACGTAAATATAAGTTAGAAAAACATTGGAAAGTAATGTTCTGTTGTAATCTCTTTACCTGAAGATGATAAGTTAAATCAATGAAAGGCAGCAAATACTCATTTTCTATTACCCTCGATTTTTAGACGTAATTAACATCCCGTTTGTTTTACAGGGGGATCTAGTTTATTGAATGTTATAAAACTGTGTAAATCTGCCTACCATTCCACGCGCAAAGATTCGCGAATTTTTACAGCGTGCCATTCAAAATGTTGAGTGCAAAATAGTTGCATCATATGATGTCAATCGCAGCTGAAGGGTTAACACTATTTTTCCTGTTAAAGTACAATAGTAATGCGTCGAGAAAATGTTGTAATTTTGAAAGAGAGAAGAAAAGAAAGGCCATACATCTGTATCTTATTACTGTTTAATGGGATATTCTATTCTGGAGCCAATAATTAAAACTGTGTCAGTTCTAGTAAGATGATTTTATGTTAATATCTTGAGGCACTACTTAAAGACTATATATATTATTGAATACAAGCAAAAGTACCCGTCCCCAGTGACGGGAAAGTTTAAGTTAATCTACCAATTTAAATTATTTCACGGATTTTAGAAAGGTTAATTGTGTTGCACTCTTGGTTCCTCTTACAGCCAGAATCTCTGAGCTACTTATACCGCCCACCGCGAAAATTAATTGTTGAACATTTCAGTCAAGCTAAGAGCCGCTCAACAATAACATACGGTAATCCACATTTTTATCTTTTAAATTACGTCACACTTTGAAATGTGAACGACAGTGTGATTAATTCCTAACAATTTATTATAGAATATCCTGCTTACGAAATATAATTTGACAACAACATTATTCACGCCTGTTCTCCCGTCATTTCAAAAAAGTGAATGTTGAGCTTTGCTTGCGTGCACAGCTTTTCAAACGGGAAACAGACGAACGCTCGGAACGGACACCGAAGTTCGCAAAATATATATATATGAAGTGGAAGACTTCAATAATTTTTTGTTTTTTTTCAGTGGTTATCAGCGTTATATGGCGTGTGTTCGTGAAAAAATTGAGAGCAAGTGTGGAAAAGAGTCAGTAGATTTCATGCAGGAACTTCTAAGAATGGCCGTTTCCCGCCTACCGGATATTATTTGTACCGGATATGGACCGAACAACGACGAATGCACAACTCTGCTGCCAGATGAAGGCACTCCACCTAAGGAAGGCAGCTCCGATTCTGCGTTGTCTCGCATCTTTAGCGCCTACTTTTCAAGCTGAGAAAAGCCAAGAACTGATGATAAGAATGCAGATTTAGTCAACCTTCAAAGGTTGTGTTTGGAACAGGCGGTGTTTTCATTGTTAGTTTGTGTAAATCAGAGTAGATAGTTTTATGTTTTTTTGTGTAATGATCTCAGCTACGTTCAGATCCTCCCTTTTCCTGTAAAAGTTTGTTATCAATAAACATTTGTAAGTTAAGATACGTCTTCAGTATTTATTCCTTCATCAGTTGACACTTTTATCTTCACGAAGAGATGTTTAACATGAATCCTCCCGTAACTACACAATTAAATGACGTCAAATTAATATCGTATCACAGAGTAGAACATTTCTTTTTTTTTTTACGGTCCCAGGTAATAAGTTAAGTATTGGAATTAGCCGCGAACTTGAATTTTTACCTGTTTTTAGCTGAACTTCTAAAATGTTGTCCCTTGTTTTCTTTTTTTTTTAACCGCCCCCCCCCCCCCCAATTGACACACTGGTATGTCTGTAGACTGCTAGAAATCAGGTTTCGATAGCCGTGGTGAACAGAGCCCAGATAGCTCTTTGTATAGCTTTATGCTCAGTAACGAGCAACAACGATTTTTTTTTTCTTGTATTTTGAACGATGTTATAATTGATTTCAGTAATTTTCAAGACCTTGTATTCACTGAGGAAAACTTAAAATTGGCCACATTCATTCTAACAACTGGCAAGGAATTAGCGGGGAAAAAAGGGAAGTTTTGGTTAACGTAAATGTCATCGTACCTTCTATATATATATAAGCTAAATTTCTATTCAGGTTCTAAACTTGAACCACAAACAGTTAGAACAGCAGTGTATAAATCAGGCCACTTTCTGAGATCCAGTGTCACGAATTTTGAATGAACTAACTGTCTCATTTGGTAAGAAGAAAAAACATATGTTTTGTTCCATATCGAATTAGATGCTGAGTTGGGTTAAGGATGTAGTGTGTTTAATGTTTGGGTTTTCTAATTGTTAGGGCACTTTATAAATTAATAATATTTAATTAAATCTGTAATATCCACATTTCATAACTGATACCTCCGTTATTACAAAATGATTTATTTTCCAATATATCTATATCTTGACCAGTTAACAAACTTTACTTTTGTTGTTACTGTATTGTTGTGTTAAAGGTTTTCTGTTATTGTTACTGTATTGTTGTAGTCGAACGTGTCTTTGTTTTCTGTTATTGTTACTGTATTGTTGTAGTCGAACGTGTCTTTGTTTTCTGTTATTGTTACTGTATTGTTGTAGTCGAACGTGTCTTTGTTTTCTGTTATTGTTACTGTATTGTTGTGGTCGAACGTGTCTTTGTTTTCTGTTATTGTTACTGTATTGTTGTGGTCGAACGTTCAGGGTATGAAAGAAAATATCAGTTAATATTCTAATTTGAGTTAACATAGTAACTTAAAGAAATTTTAACTAGTTTCACGTGTATGACCAGTTTCTTACTTTTAAGGATAGTTTATAATTAAGTCTGTCGAAGGAAGAGCGTGACCTAGTAGTTATCGTAGTGGAAGGTCCGAAGTTCGAGACACAATATACTAGTGAGGACACTCGGCACTTTTAACTGTAGAGGCATTATAACCGTGACAGTTAATCCCGCTATTGGTTAAGAGTAGCAGTAGCCTTATAGGCGATGGATGCTACTGGCTAGCTTTCCTCCTGTTAAGTCATTAGTTGTAATTTAATAATGGTTTGGGATTTATTACAATCTGATTTCACTCAACTGGTCACTGCTAATACTGGACGATTCGTTGAGTACTGGTCACGTATCTTTGTTATGCGTAAATTTGATGTTCTATATTTAAACCTGTTTCTCAACTTTTAAAAGCCAGGCTTTACCGAGATTTTACTTTATCCTGGATAAGTCAATGACTTATCTTTCTGGCACAAAAAAATAATCATGTTGTGATTTTATTTTAAAAGAATCTACATATAATTCAACACAGTTTCTCCATTTCCGTGTTTTTTCTTGTTGTTTTTTTTTTTTTGTCTTGTTGTCTTTAGTACCATCTCATTCCTTTACTTGTTTACTTTTCTTCTTAAACGTGTTTGAACAATTGCCGGACTGCGTGCAAAATGTCGCAACAGCTGAAAATACTAATTTTTTTTTTCGAATTCTTGTGAAAACATCTTACTGTAATCAGTTTTCGCGCGTTTTTTTTTTTTTTTTTTTTGTCTTGTTGTCTTTAGTACCATCTCATTCCTTTACTTGTTTACTTTTCTTCTTAA